TGAAGGAGTTTAGAGAATGTGACTCTTTGATATCCTTGGGTGGAGAGTTCCAGAGCTTAGGGGCATAACAGGAGAAGGCCCTGTCACCCATACAATATAGACGGGCTTGGGAGGACAGTTAGGAGACCAGAATTAGAAGAGGGAAGGTTGCAAGGTGGGGAGTAGGGCGATAGTAGCTCAGACAGGTACTGAGGTGCCAAGCCATGCAGAACCTTATAGGTGAGCATGAGGATTTTAAAGTCCACACGGAATTTGACAGGAAGCCAGTGCAAGGACTCCAGCATAGGAGTAATGTGATCACTTGCACTAGACCTGGTCAGGATTCTGGCTGCTGAATTTTGGACTTACTGCAGTTTGTTCAAAGTAGATTTAGATACCCCAGCAAGTAGAGCATTACAGTAGTCAATTCAAGAGAACACAAATGTGTAGATCAGCTTTCAGCCACAGTTAGTGATAGCATAGGGCATAGTCTAGTGATATTTCTGAAAAAAATGTTTTGACAATATGCTGCAAATGGGGGTAGAATGTTTAGCCAGAATCGAATATCACGCCAAGGGTTTTCAATTTAGACTCAAGTACAGAACCATCTACAGATACAGTAGGGTTACAGGATGTATTTATTTATTGAATATGTAGGGAAGATGGGATTGAAAACCTGGATTACTAGAACCAAAATGAAAATGCTTTGTACCGCTCTGAGCAAACTAAGAAACAGCCATGTGAGTGATTACAAATTCAGCTTCCTTGTGGTCTCAAAGTCAACATAATTTTTAGTAACTCTTAAGACATTCATTGTGAATTATTACCAGAATAACGTTTTATATGCTGGAAAATTTCTTTAGCAGCCACAGTCATATTATTTATTACCGTCATTAAAATTCAATTTCATGAGAGACTGGACCCTATAAGGATCTCTGAATATTAGAAGATGTCATACTTATCTGCAACCTCTGGAAAGAAAATGACTGCGTTTACACAAGGATTCTGATCTAGCACCACTGCTGACTTTTATCAAGTCTTACGGATGAGAATAAAAACAGAAAATCTGGAAATGCATTAGCTAGCTGGAGAACTATTTGTAATGAATGTCAAAAACTAGCTACCTTTGATTATTTCATTCATCCAGCTTCTCATTTTAAGGTGAGGTTCAACTGCTGCAGTGTTGATTGTGGCATGTGTTAATATAGAATGAGTAACATTCTAGAATGAGAATTATTACTCTGTCATTCTTTGTAATGCTAATCTGTAGGTTTTACATACTGTATTCTTGAGAAGATCTGATATCGTAGAGTTTCAGCATTTTGATGTTTGGCAGAAAAAAAAAACTTTACGGGTCATATAAATGGAAGCAATAACTTAATGATATTTGATTTTGCTTTAGAATCTTCATCTCTGTGTTTTAGAATGTCCAATACAGCTGTTATAAAGTGACTGGCACCAGAAGGATTCTAAACTGGTGAATAAGAAACCATAAAAGGGTCACTGCTTCTGTTAAATTAATGTTCTGCTTTTAATATATTTTCTAGAAAATATTGTATATCACTATCCTTTAATGTGTTGGTAGGATTAAATTATCATATAAGTATTTTATAATTACAAACCCTAGCAACATGCTTTCATGTTTCTTCTAGAAACATGTTTTTGATGGGCTTGCAAAGCACTGAATTTTGAAAAAAATAATATAATAATGTATAGTACATCAGCCATATTTGCAGATCTTTTACTTTTTAAAATTTATAAATAATTGCCAATATACAATGTACAATTTAAAAGGACCATCATTAAATTAATCAAGAACACTGTTGTTTTATCTCTTGCTTCCATACATACGTAAGCATTTCTACATGAGCATACAGTTTCATCTGCATGAAACTGTTAATATATATTACACATACATACATCTAAAGATTCACTTTTTACATGCTTCAGTCAGAAGATATTGCTGCACATATTAGTGTTAAGTCAGCAAATACAGCAGAGTTTTGTTTTTCTATTGTGGGGATGAAAAGGTGCTCCAGGGACTCAATTCAAAAGTTCAGGAACATCATTTTCTCATAAACAAACTGATCATTTAAGGCATTGTGCCCTTTAAGTACAAAATAAAGGTTCATTACCAAAGACTTAAATAGACTGAATCACTGGACTGGTTAAAAAACGTCAACGAACGTACTGACACACATTGAATGTAAAAATATGCTGAAACAGGCCTTCAGCATAAACATGTTTCTGTAAAGAACAGTCTGTTCCTATTCCTTTTCCTGTTCAAAGAGTGTAGTATTACGAAGAGAATTGTTTAATGCCAAAATGTACAGATAAGAAGTTACGTCAGTGTTAAGGATTCGGCCAGTGAATCTGAAACCAAGTAATGAACCCACTTGCGGGAGCTGATAGAGACAAGTCGTGATCCAAATATCGTAGACGAAGGAGAGAGCCGAGAGTCCAGGGGAAGCCAGTGATCCAAACAGGGAGAGAGTAACCAAAGCCAGAACGTAATCCAAAACTGTAGACGAAGGAGAGAGCCGAGAATCCAGGGGAAGCCAGAGATCCAAACAGGGAGAGAGCAACCGAAGCCGAGCCGTAATCCAAAAAACGTAGTAAAAGGGAAGAAACCAAGGTCGAAACCAGAACAGTACAAAGAGGTAGAAGGCGTAGCGCAACTAAGTAGCTCGGAAGGAAAACCAAGAGCGAGGAGGTAGGGAAAGACTAGTGCTTAAATACAAGATGAGATGGCGGTGTGGTGGTGAAAGCGTACACTGATAGGTGGACAAATGAACTAAGACTACGCCTTCTTCTGCCTCTTACGTTGCCGGGAGACAGGGATTGTAACATTACCCCCCTCTCTACGGGCGGCTCCCGTCGCCCTAGCAGGACAATTAGGGAAACTGTGATGGAAATCCCAGATCAGTTTTGAATCCAGTATATCCTTTTCCGGTACCCACGGCCGCTCCTCTGGACCGTAGCCTTCCCAATCCACTAGAGACCATCAGGAATCTAGAATCTTATTTACGGTGTAGGCAGGTAGTCCATGAATTACTTGAGGCGGTGGGATTTTTTGTTGCGGTTCAGACAGAGTGGATCTGCGAAAGGGCTTAAGGAGGGAAACATGGAATGTAGGGTGAATCCTGAGGGTAGGAGGTAAGGCCAGCCGATAAGTTACAGAGGTAACCTGGGTGAGGACACGAAAAGGACCAATGAACCTGGGAGCAAGCTTGCCAGAAGGTTGCTTTAGAGGAAAGTTATGGGTAGACAACCAGACAAATTGTCCACGTCTAAATCTGGGTATGGTTCGACGGTGCCGATCCACCACGGTCTTCTGCCGAGCTGCAGTGTGAAGAAGGGCAGCTTTAGCCTTCGTCCAGAAGTCCTGCAGGTTTGTTATATACTCCCGAACAGATGGAAGTTCTGTGTCCGGCTGGGAGTCCGGGAAAAGAGGAGGCTGATAACCTAAGGCATACTTGAAGGGTGACATGCCAGTCGAAGAAGTATACAAAGAATTATGAGCATATTCTGCCCATGGAAGCAATGACACCCAGTTATCTTGGGTAGATGAGATATATGTCCGTAAGTAGGTTAGCAGTTCTTGATTCATATGCTCAATTTGACCGTTGGCCTGAGGGTGATAAGCTGAAGTTAGCGAAACTGAGGCTCCCAGTGACTTACAGAAGTCCTTCCAAAAGACGAATGTAAAGCAGGGCAGTCAGCTTTAAAGTGACCTAATTTTCCACAGTACATACAGAGGCCCTCTCGGCTGCGTCTCTCTCTTTCTTGTGGAGTTAAACGGGTGCGGGCAATTTCGATAGGTTGTTCCGAGTCTAGAGTGTTGATAGTTGGTGGCTGAGGAACCTCTAGTATCTGTGTCCGAGATCTTTCTCTACTCCTCTGACGAATTCTAAATTCGAATTCCAACACCTGGGAAATTATTTCCTCCAAAGTTCTGCCCAACTGTGGCATAGTTACCAGGTAATCCTTTATTTCTTCACATAACCCTTGCAGAAAAAGAAAAATAAGGACCTCATCATCCCAGTGAGTCTCTGCTGCTGCTACTCAAAAATCTATGGCATAGTCCTGTGCAGACATGCGACACTGGCGGATAGATGAGAGGTGGTAGGCGGAGTCTTGTCCAGCTGAGGAACGACAAAAAAAACCTTTAAATCTCTGGCAGTAGCCCATTCCAGAGCACGGCCAGTTAACAGAGAAACTACGAAGGCAATCTTGTCTTGAGGAGAAAAAAAAGTTTCCGGTTGGAGCCTGAAAACCAGCGCACACTGTGCTAAGAAGCCCTGACATTTCGTAGGGTTGCCGTCAAACCTGTCAGGTATTATAAGTGGAAGAGGTCGAGGAGCAGGTGTAGAAGCTGGCGGGGGCGGAGCCGAAGCGGCATCTCCAGCGTTACTTTCACTATTACCGGTAGGTGGCATTGCCGACAGGTGCGCTGAAATCTGAAGCCTGTAACTGGAGTAAAGCTTGCCAGTGCTGATCCAAAACCGAGCGAAATTCCTCTTGCTCCGCTGGGTCCATGTTAAGTGGCTCAGTATTCTGTTAAGGATTCGGCCAGTGAAACCGAAACCAAGTAATGAACCCACTTGCAGGAGCCGATAGAGAGAAGTCGTGATCCAAATACCGTAGACGAAGGAGAGGGCCGGGAGTCCAGGGGAAGCCAGTGATCCAAACAGGGAGAGAGCAACCGAAGCCGAGCCGTAATCCAAAAAAACGTAGTAAAAGGGAAGAAACCAAGGTCGAAACCAGAACAGTACAAAGAGGTAGAAGGCGTAGCGCAACTAAGTAGCTCGGAAGGAAAACCAATACTGAGCGAGGAGGTAGAGAAAGACTAGTGCTTAAATACAAGATGAGACGGAGGTGTTGTGCTGAAGGCTTACACTGTTAGGAAACAAAATATGATTAACTATTACTTGCAGGAGAGCTAAACCACGCATGGGAGAACTGTCACCTTTTGAACATTCCTTTATTTTAAAAGGGATTTTCTATTTGTCTCCCAACAGGAACGAGACTGTGCTGCATCAGTTCTGCTGCCCTGCTGCTGACGCTGATCAAAAAACTGATTCCAGTTGTTCCACAAGGTAAGGGTGTGCTTCCTGGAAACAAAAATTGAATGAACGTGTCCTATGTTAATCAACTCTAGACTGCACTGCAACTGCCTTGTTTTTCCATTTGCAGTGGACATTAGTCTTTGGTGCTGCTTAATTACCCTTCCATGTTCTATCTATTGTTTTCCTTTCTGATTTAATTCTTCTATAAAAGTATTTCTTAAAAATGCTTTTCAAGGACAGCATTTTTTTAAGTGAGGAAGAGCAGAGGGAGATACCCTAAAGTATTAGTGTGTTACTTTGCAGATTAAATTAATAAAAATATATTTACATTCATTACTTTTTTCTATGTTAATAGAGCATCGACAATATAAAAAGACAAAAAACAGCAGACAATGGAAAACATTTGACAGAAGAATAAAAAATCAAAATAAATAATAATTACCTATATCATGTAGACACATTTTCATAAATGTGCAGGGTTGAGGACATTGGAATATAAATTGCAGGTACCTGTTTTACAGCTTTGGTGACATTTTTAGGAACAAAATAATATTCAGTTTTGTCTGAATAACTAACTACATTATAACACAAAAAATGTAGAATTCCTTTTTCATGTGTTTCTTAAGTGGAGCTTTTTCAAACCTTTTGTGCAAAATGTGCTTAGTGAAATATACTACTTTCATTGCATTCATACACTTAAAAGGCTGAATGCAACCTGGTTTTCAATACATTTTCTGTCTTAATTAACCTGCACATCTGCAAGAAACTGTTAGTAGAATTGCAGAGAATACCTGGGGCATGAACTCTCTCCATTTGATCAAGGTGATTTTTTCACTGGTATTTACAATAATATGGCAGTAGATCAATAGTAATTAATTCAATTCTTACTTATATTTTGGGTCTATATACAGTATGTCTTTCAAACATAAAGTGATAAAGTTGGGGAGATCCCTGGGAAATTTAAATTTTGCCGTTTCCCTCTAAAACATATCTAGTCTTCCAATAAGCAATTAATTTATCTTATGTGCTTCACATTAAGTTAGAACTCAGGTCACATAAATGAGGGCCAAGGCCAAGTCACTTTTCTATCTTCCAATGACACTGAATGGAACAAACTTTTAAAACTGTATAATTGAATTTTAATTAGTATCAACTATTGAACTGATAATCTCTTTTAAATTGGAGGAGTCAACATAATTCTCCATACCCACGTGATGAAATACAGTAAGTGACCTACTGAAAATGTAACACAGGTATACTAGACACTGTTTTACTGTCTGTTTATTCCACTGCTGTTTTTGTCAAGGTAAATGCAGTTACAGCAACACTGTCCTCTTGGACAGTTTAACACAGGAATTTAAACCAGACAAATTGCAGCAATTCAGCAGAATTAGCAAACTTGAAGAAAGAGTGCAGAGCCCAATGGGACTAAGACTTCTACAATAAAATCAGCATCCAAAGCAGTCCACTTCAATTGCAAAGACAATCTTACAAATGATTTGTGGTGTACAAATCACACTAGCAATTGTTTTGTGTTCTTGAGTGTGTAGTGAAATGATTTGTATTTCAGATCATTTTGACTCAATTCCTTTTACATGTCTTCACCCTCATATTTTCACCCACTACCACATCACATTAGAGCCATGAAAGACAGCGCTCATGGGAGATGGTACATAATGAATATGTATCACCAGTGGGCTACAGCTATGATGGATGCCCCCATCCCAGGAGGGCATTTTTAAGTAGCTCTTTTCTTTGGGAAATATGAAATTGCTCTGCTACAATAGTCTCTTTTAGAGACACATTCCAGAAATCATCAGGGCCTAACCTCCAAAAATGATTAAAATGCATTGCAGAAATCCCCAAAATAAAGCATTTCAATCTCAGATAAATAACTGCGACCTCGGATTCAAATGAATTCTTTTTAAGCCTAAACAAGTACTAACTAACAATTGAATATAATTAATTCCATCTCAAGGCTATGATATATTTATTACAAATATGAAATATCTGTTTTCTCTAAAATAAACAACATCAATTTTAAACCTTCTTAAGTTATGAAATTGAAAGAAACTATAATGTATATATGTATCTGATTATGATGAAGTTCAACTAAACAAATCTTCTTCTGTTTTCTCACTGGAAATAAGGTCAATAATAGCAGAGGAGATATATGTAACAAAAACTATCCACTGAGATTGTCAATACAATTTCATGTAATAATAATAATAATGAATAATTGCTTATACTTATATAGCGCTTTTCTGGATAGTCCACTCAAAGCTCTTTACAGGTAATGGAGACTCCCCTCCACCACCACCAATGTGCAGATTCCACCTGGTATCCATAATGCACCAGTACACTCACCACACATCAGCTAACAGTGGGGAGGAGAACGGAGTGATGAAGCCAATTCATAGATGGGGATTATTAAGAGGCCATGATTGGTAAGGGCCATTGGGAATTTTGGCCAGGATGCTGGGGTAACACTCCTACTCTTTTCAAGAAACACCCTGGGATTTTTAATGACCACAGAGAGTCAGGACCTCATCTTTAAGATGAGATGTAAAGCGTTTTTACAGTAAAGTGTCCCCATCACTACACTGAGGCATTAGGACCCACATAGACTGCAGGTTGAGCGCCCCCTGCTGGCCCCCCTAACACCTCCTCCAGCACCAACCTTAGTTTTTCCCAGGAGGTCTCTCATTTACATATGAGTCTTCCACAGTGGGCCTATAGCACTTCCATCTACTGGTTTTAGTCTAGTTAATTGTTTACTTTTAGTTTGAAATATTGGACACTAGTGTTCTTTTAACCTCCTTATCCTTTTTGAATGTTTAATGCATTTTAAACAATTGTACGGTTTTATCTAATTACTCAACACTGCTAGAATTGTATACAGATGTCTTTTTAAAAATGTTAAAGGCAAACTCTATTATGAATTTAAAATGTTAAATTCATGTTTAAATGGTAATCAGTATGAACTGTATATTTTAGGTATGTGTTACAACAGCTGATTTTTCTCCTATCTGCATATCGCCCACACTCTCACTGAGCTTGAGCATGAAATGAACAACTGTATGTACAGCATTCTCTAAGTCTGGTAGTGATTGATTACTATGACAAATCTCTTTTATTAAGAAAACAAATAGCTTTAATGTTACCCTTAAAATAGTTATGGTTGTTTTAGAATTGATCATCCATAATCAATTCTAAATAACGTACCAATGGGAATTAGCTAATTGTGTAAATTAATGATTTGTGCTGTTAGAAACATAAAACCAAGACTTTTTAAATATCTTTTTACTGGCTCCAACTCTAGCCTTCAGATATAAAATAAATGTCTTTATAGCAGATAAAATTAAAATGAGTGGTTTTATAAATAAGAATAAAATGTTTGAATTTCAAAACCTAAACATCAAATATCAAATATGAGGTTTAACAAAATGGCACATATTGTATAATCTATCCCTACATACAATACAAGTTTTGAAGGAGTGATGGCAGGTACCTTCTTGAAATTCAGATTTATGTGCTCCAATCTGACAAATACCTTGATGACAAAATGTAAAGAGTCTGTTTTTCCATTGGAAATATATTTCCACAGAATAACCTGAGAAAATGAAATGGAAGTAAAAGACAAAAATTAAGCTTCTTCCATGAGCGCCACAGAATCCCATCCAACACACTCATGGGAATCCTTCAGCTGCCTTCTTTAGTGCACAAGCTTCCCCGATGCGACCACCCTTAGGAAATGCTGCATTTTCTCAAGCTTGATTGGCAGGGAACATACCTCCACAGCTGATGAACATCTGGCTCTACAATGCACATAAACCCACCTTCCATTTTACCTGAAGACATTTTTAAATGTTTTTTGCTGCTTTCAAAACAGTGATACAAACTAGGGGTTGGTGTGACCAATGAACATACAACAGCTTTTAAAATGTCTACATTGTTGTATTTGCACATTTGTGTTTTGTGTGTGTACAGTATGTTGTTAGTGTCACTGAGGCCCTTTGAAATGAGAACATTCAATAATTCAGACCCAAAGTGCAAAGTCTGATAGCGTGACCATGCATTTGTGAAAAGCTCCATCTTTTCCTGCTTCATTCCATTTGAATAGAAGTTAAAAGCCTTAAGTATTTAATAGGAAGAAAAAATGTTTCTGTCAGCCATAACACAACATTAACTCAATAGAGCTGTGCTGCTGCTTCAGTTTTTCCTGTATTTACGTGTATTTGTTTGTTTAAGATTCCTATCTTTCCCATCCTTCTGCTTATCACAGCAGGTTGGACACAGCTTCTGTTACGTAGTGAAGGTCACTGTTAGTCCTCTAGGCTGTGTCGGACCATGTGATTCTGTATCTCACTCACGATGTCTTTGAAAACTTCTCTCTCTTGTTTCTTGCTGATTGTTACAGTAGGTGTGTATTTTAAATAACCTTGCTGTGAATTCTTTGAGAGATAAATAGATATGCTGGGATCTGTGAATCTGATAACTCTATGCTGTGCCATGTCAGTTACATGTCATTCAAATTGAGCTTGAAATCTTTTTTTGGATTGTTGGTGTGTGGAGTACATTAGTAGTGTATTATTTTATGGCAACCATGTGATATTGTATGGTCAAAGTTGAACTTGGAATGTAACAGATTAAACATACATGTATTTATTCAGAGAGCTCTTTATTAACATTGAATTTACATAGTTAATGTGTGTTTTGTGATATGTAAGGTGGGGAGTTGCTAGTGTGTGAAATGCAAAGAAACAAGTACAGGTTAATTCCACTCTGAAAAGTATAAAGTGGAACATACTGTATCTGAAGATGACTCTAGAACCAAAGTATTGCGTTTTCTTACTTTTCAGCATGAATATAACCTCTGTTCATATATATATACAGTGTCTTGCAAAATTATTCATCCCCCGGCAAATTTTCCACTTGTTGTTGTCTCACTTTTAGAACCAAAATGTTTTCAGATAGCACTGAAAGAAAGAATTCACCATTTATACGGTGCAATATACTCCAAACTGATA